CTTTGTTTTAATGCATATGATCTTCTCAGTAAACCTAATTAGGAGGGACTTTTATTAGACTCTTTTTACAGATGCACTTAGAATAGTTTAGTGACTTTCCCAAGGGCACACAGCTAGTCAGTAGTTAAAACCAGGATTCAAACCCTGGTTCCTCACCCCAAAGCTGGTGCTCTGTTTAGTAAGTTACTAATATCATGTCCAGGTTAGCTTACTGCCTAACCTAACCACTATGCCTCTCCCGCACACCTGGCCATGCTGTGGTCATCACTCTGAGAGAGAAACTTCTCATGTCTCCCAAACTGTGATGTTACTATGATTCACTATACAAATTAGTTCCTCCCTTCCTCCCTCCCTTCCTCCCTTCCTTCCTTCCTCCCTTCCTCCCTTTTTACTGCACAAGTTTCTGAGTGTGCTGGGAGATAGTGAAGATACTTTGGAGGTAATTTGTGCCACCTCTGAAAAGTCAATAAACCAGGAGAAAGCAGAAACCAAAGAACGCCAACATGGGAAAAGCTGAGACTCAAGCTTTACTGGACGACACAATGCTGCTTAGCATCAGGGGCACGTGTGGGGTTTGGAACCTGCCATTTCTTGGCTGGGTGACCTTGGAGAAGTGATTCTCTTCTCCACAGGGCCTTAGTTTATTCCTTTGAGAAATGGGCCTGATACTATAATGCCATGAGGCTGTTCTCAGGACTGAATACGCTGACCTAAGACACAGCCTAGCTTTGTGCTGGAGGTTGCCTCTTGCACAGTATCGGGAGCTGATGATAATGTTATTATCAGTATTGTGAGAAGCTCTGAGTGCAGAGAAAAGACCACCCATGGCCTGGAGGAAAATGCCCAGAGAGCCTTGCTCCCTAGAATGCCATGGGTCTGGGATGAGGAAGGCTCTACTTTCCCTTACTTTTCATGGACAACTATGTGCCACGTCCCTCAGAAGAAACAAGGATGCTGTGCTTTCCTCTTGGCAAATCCCTGATGCCCTGGTGCCTGAACTAAAATGCTGGAACAGCCTACTTTCTCCCTCCATGAATGAAACCAGCGAGAAGAGTGAGTGCTGACGTCTCTACTGGGAGAGCCGACGAGACAGTGGGGCCGGCACCATGCCAGCATTCCACGGCAGACAACACCTCCTCGGCGGCAAGAGGTGCAGAGATGACATCCGCCCCGCAGAACATTCTGCAGAGCGAATACCCTCTATAAGCAAAGGCAGAAGAACTGCCTTCTTCTTATTTTCCAAAAGGCACACGATAATAAAGAGTAGAGTGGAACAGGGGTCAAGTGGATAAAACAAAATGATAACAAGCCACAACGGAATGGAGCACATACCGTGTGCAAGAACCTGTGTGTGAGCTTTGCCAGAACTATCTTATTTCATCCTCACAATTGCGCTACAAGGTAGAACTTCTCATCGCCCTCATTTTACAGATGGGGAAGCACTTACAACTTGCAGAAGCACTAAGTGGCAGAGGTGGGACACAGACCCAGGTCTCATCTGGCTCGGTGCCCACAGGCAAGGAAAATGCTGGATTGACTCCCAGGTTCTGCCTCTTTTACCCTTGCATAGGACTTCAGGTGTCTTTGGAGGAAACCGAGGAAGGTGACAGGTCCCTTCCTGAGCTGGGTCCCAAGAGCGGTGCCGAGAGCAGGGTGGTGCTCACACACATGGATTTGGGGATACGGGGGTAAGGGTAAGAATGCAGAGGCCAAGGGAGGCCACGAAGCTGGGAGAACCAGCAAGAGGCCTGCGCATTGAGTCATTTCCGGCTCCAATTCTTTTGTTACTGACCCAACTCTGTGACCTTTCTCTGAAAGGTCCTATTTGTGAAATGAGGGTGGTGGGAAAATGGAGGAGAGACTGGATGGCCACGGACACACCTTCCAGCTCCAAGTTTTTGCTGTGCACTAGAGGACGTCGACAGAACCACACAACTCCCCAAGCAGATGTCAAAGGCACTCTGCTCTCAGGAATCTTTGCAAATAACACTCGATTTTGCCAAGATAGAAACAGCCACAAGAATACACTTTACTTTGCCAGAAAAAAAAAAAAAAGCTACAAGAATAATTCATGCATGTAATGTTCTTGTCGTCTATGCCCTATGTAACTATGAATTAATTCTCAGAAGGACACAATGAGAGATTACAATGGCAACACCAAAATGACAAGCCTCTTTTTTCCAAGAAAAAGAATGGCTACCTCTTCCTATAAAAGGATCTCATTAAATTATCTTGGATCCATACCAGACTCATAGGCACTTGCAATTGGAAGGACATTTGAAGGTTAACTGATGTGACTCTCCATTGGGTGCCTTAGTCCCCTCCACAACATGTCTGAGGGGTATCTAGGGAGTGCCTAAATACCTTAAGGACCACTCAGCGCTGCCTACTTGGACACCTCTGATCTTTCCCAAGTTCTTTCTCATACCTCCTACAGCTTGGATGCTTCCTCCACACCTTGTGGCCACACAGACCCTGCCCAATCCTCCTCCACATCAGCCCTTCACAAATGCCGCCCCCAAGGCTTCCTTTCTGCATGAGTTGTCAATCACTCTGTACTTACAAAAACAATCTGACCATTGAGGCACTGTTGTTTTTGTTGTTGTCCTTGTTTTTTTTAAGACAGATTTATTTGATCCACAATTATTCCAAAATGATTACTACTCCAAATAACCCAAACTGCACTTTTTTTCAAACTATATTATCGGCAACACTGAAAGCTGATTATAATCAACTTGCTTTCATAAAAAGAAGGAAAAAAATTAAAAAAAAAAAACAGACTTTAGAAGAATCCACGTGGCTAAAAGGACAACCAGAAATCATTCCATGCTCCCAAATAAACAAGGAAGAACCGTGAATGCACGTTTCTCCACCACTGCCCATTCCCCGCTAGAATTTGAATGACCAGCTTTCAAATCACAAACCAATACAAATGATCCAGCCACAACCTCACATTTCACAATGTGGAAACCGAGGCCCAGAGATCCCATCTCTGTCCTTGCATCCCCAAATGTTTATTAATCCTCTGTACTGGGTTAGGCCCTAGGGATACCAAGGTACCGAGGCCTTGCCTTCCCAGGTCTCTGAGCAGGGACTTACACACGACAATACAATTAAGGGATTTTAAAACAGGTGGAAGCAGGGGCGCCTGGGTGGCTCAGTTGGCTGAGCCTCTGACTTTTGATTTTGGCTCAGGTCATGATCTCAGGGTCGTGAGATCGAGCCCTGTGTCAGATTCCACGCACTGAGTGTGGAGCCTACTTAAGATTCTCTCTCTCCCTCTGCCCCACCCCCTGCTTGTGCTCTCTCTCACTCTCTCTCAAAGTAAAATAAAATAGGTGGGAGCATATTGTTGGGGCAACCCAATGATAGGCCTTTGGAACCTTGTACAAGGAACTTGAAAGACAAAAGTCTATTTCCTTCCTCTGTGCCTTGGCTCAAACTGCCCCTCCAAATACAACACCTGCCCCCTCTCTTTGTTTGGCAGACTCAATCCTTTAAAACTCAGCTCAAGTATCCCCACCCCCTGCCACAATGCTTTCTTCCCAACTCCCCCTTTAGCTGCCCTCCACCTTACAATATCTCGTATAAATCACACTCACTGTACTTAGCATCACGTACTGCATCTATCCTTCCTGGGTTGATCTTCTCTGTTAGACTTTAGGTTGCAGGAGATTGGGACCTGAGTGTGATTCAGCTTTATATGTCAAGTCTCATATAGAGCTCTCACGCTGGGAGTGGTCCGGGTAGCAGAGGGGGGGCATGGGAAGAGTGGCTGAGGTTGGGGCTTGGGGATTAAGTCAGGGCCAGATGTAAAAAGTCTACATAGGCCATCCTGAGGTATACAGACATTATCCCAAAGTTAGGGTGGGGGAAAAAAGTCTTTACAAAGCAAGTGACATGATCCAATTAGTTTTTAAGGCCACACAATTGGCCAAAGGACGAAATACCACATTGAGGAGTGACACAAGGCAGAAGCCTACTGTGTGGGGCAGGACTCAGGGAAGGTCTGTATTGGAGCACTGTGTCCCGAGAGCTCAGGGTGAACCACAAGGATGGAAGTAAATTGTGGACCCAGATTTAAGAGCTTAGGGGGAACCAAGAGGATTTGCTGAGCAACCTGAGACATGGGAGAGGGGGAGAAGCATCAGCCATGATTCCAGCATTTCTAACTTGGAACCCCAGAGTGATATGCCGTCCACAGAGACAAGGACCACGAGACGAAGAACAGTGTTGGAGGAAAGATTATGAGGTCATTTTTGGAAAGATTCCTATGACAATCCTCCCAGATGGTTTCTATAGGTCAGAGCTACCTTGTTCACTAAAAGAGATGATGACGTGCAAGAAATCAGTCATGAAAAACCTAAAGAGTACAAGACAAATAAATACTTTAACCCTCACAGAGACAGATGGAGCAATCCTGATGATTTGAGGGTGAAGGAAACCATTTCAGACAAGAAATCTTCTCCGGTTCTTAAAACTACTCATCATTTCTCAACCCATTAAATTGGCCAGTGTCTACACGATATTCTCTAGGCAATCAGATTCCATACCCTTCTGATTTTCTGGACCCAAATGACTCATCTTCATAGCTTTTAAAAATTATTACCAGCTCACACCATTTAGTGAGTCCTAGTCACCAGGAAGAATTCAGTTTACTTTAATTAAGTAGCCCCCCTCAGCCATTTTACTGAATCATGACCTCCTTTTTTTACTCATCTTTTCAAAATGCTAGAAGGTCTAGCTATTGCTGGGGGGAAAGTGCATGGACACACTCAACGAACAAATCCCTGCTGCAGCAAAATGAATCCATCTTTTAATCTAGCAACATTCCTCTGGCCCTTATTTCATAGCAAAAGCTCTGAAGAGCAAGCCACGCTCAGAACCTCTAGAGAAACAACTGCTCCCCTTACAGAAACTGTGAGAGGACTTTTCCTGGCCTGTGTGGTTGTGCTAAGTGTGCAGAAACGGCGCTTGGTGGAGAAGAAACCGACACTTACCCTCTTCCTCAAGTTGTAGGTGAGAATGAGGTTCCTGGAGAAGGAGTGGGAAAAGGCCGTGTAGAATTCCAGCACTTTCTGCAGGGCATCCCGTTTGATCACATGCAGGTCGCAGTAGGTCAGGGCCCTGACATTGGCACAGGACTGGGCCAGGGTGGCTTCCTTCCAGAACACATCTCCAAACACGTCTCCTTTCCCTAGGGAGAGAAAGTGCTGGTGAAGGAAGTGTCAACTGGACGGCATCTGGCCAGCATCTGGCCATCCAGGTTGGCTTCCCTCTGCCTCCCAAATTTCCATTTGACATTCTGCAACATGGGCTTGGAAAGGAAAAAACAAAAAACAAAAACAGGTTTTATTTTGAACCTTAACAACATGCAATTTAAGAAACTTTAAAATACTATATAATACATGTTAAGGTTTAGTCAATGACGTTGGGGTCATGGGTGCTACCCCTTGAACATCTTATCCAAAGTGGTAACCCCCTGTTATTCTTTATCACTCCCCCATTTTCCCAAAACACCAATCATAATCCATAATCACATGATTTGTCTGTGTCCTTGTTTATTGTGTAACTCCCAACATGAGAGTTCCCTCCACGTCACACCATGTCCGGTGCTGAGTAGGAGTTCTGCCAATAAGTGCAGGCAAAAGAGAAGGAAGGAAGGAGGGTGAACTGTGGATCTCCATTCGTGGGACTGACTGAGAGAGAGGTGAACAGTATGGAGAAGGTGCGGACTCTCCATTGGGAGCTGAAGATCAGGAAAGGTCTCCTCTGTTTAGGATGATCCACGTGGAAAAAGGCACGTAGGGGTGGAGTTCATTCTCTTCCATACTCTGTCCATGGCCATAGGGTCTATGTTTGTATGGTGCCTTATTCCTCCCCCTCCCCCACTATCTTCTTCCATGTTCCTCACCCTTGCCAAAGGCCCTCCTGGGAGTGTAAAAACATGGGCCCCATCCACGTGGCATCTCCAAGCCCCTCTGTACCTGGCATTCTGCAAGAGTGTACTTAATAAGCCAACAGAGTATATATAACCATATTCTGGGTCAAACTGCTATCAGTCTCCTCTAAATATCTGCTTTTCACATCAAGGGATATTCTCCCTACATTTCCCCGAGTCCAACATTTTAGCATATGTCTAATGCAAAGCCTAATTCATTCCTGGCACAGCCTCTGGTTATAAATAGCTTGAAATGTTGTTTATCTTGTCTCTAAATTTTCAACACAGATAAACACAAATTTGAATCCACAGGGAGCCTGAGAGGAGTATGCTGGGGGCAATAAACAATGCTACGAGGGTGGAAAGTAACCCTCATCACCCTCAGGAGAGCTGTCGGCCCATGCATCCAGACCAGCCACACTCCACTGCAGGAACCTAGGTACCCCTGACTCAGAATGATTAATAGGGCAGGTGTTTTCCTCATTCAGGCCAAGGAAGTGATTAGACTTCCAAGCGCCTGGACAGAACTTGATCTTTTCTCAAACACCAAAGAATCCATTCTAAGGATACGAGGTACTCCATGGGCATAGCCTTCTCCAAGCACCTCCACAGTGTGAGTGAGAAATCAACTGTACCAGACACATTACTCCACAGTTTCCTATGTGTTTATGAGGTAATGTACAGTTCTGATTTATGAAGATAGTTTTACTACTCAGTATGAGCAAGGTGCGTGCATGGGGGAGTTTTAGGGAAAAATGCCTTTTAAACTGTGCTAGTTAAATCCCCTTCCCAGGTGTTTTTCAATCATCGTACTAAGAGTGGGTTACTTTAGGGCTGGGGCCACTGGATGGGAATGCTTCTCTCTGTGGGATGCTACCAGCTTCCATGGAGATGGGCTCATTCAGTGTGGGCTCCCTGGTATGGAGTTCTAACCAACAAGGCTGGCCATTCATTCATACATAGGAAGCATCCCATAACTTCCCTACCCTTCACTGCAATGCCTCCCATGCCTTTCATTTTTATGTAATCTTATTCTTCTAGAAAAGCTCTTCTGACACACAGAATGGTAGATGGTCAAGATGCATCAAGAGGCAAAGCCTAATTTCCTTCCCCTTGAACCTGGACTCACCTTGGGCCCTTCTCTGGAGTGTGGCAGAAGTGATGTTCTGGGATTTTGAGGCCAGATCATAAAAAACCTTGCAGCTTCTGCCTGGGTCTCTTGGAATGCCTACTGTTAGAATGCTCCTTCTTAGAATCCAACTACCATGCTTTGAGAAGAACAGGCCATACCAGAGGTCACATATCAGTGCTCTGGTGGGCAGCCGAGCTGAGCTCTCAGCTGACAGCCAGCTTCTGCCAGTCATGGAAATGAGCCATCCCGGCCGGCCGGCCAGCCCACTCAAGCCTTCGGATGCCTGCAGCCCCAGCCAGCCAATGCTGGCGTGCAGCCACATGCAGAAAGCCCAAGTCAGAAGTAACCAACTGAGCTAAACACCCCACAGAATGGTGAGAAACAGTTACCAATTTCTTACACCATTAAATTTAGGGGAGGTTTATTATGCAGCAAGAGATAACCAGAACACAGAATCATGGAACTCTAGGCTGAGAAGCCTGTGAGAAATTACTTAGTAAGTTACCTAATATTCCAGCAGAACATCACAAATGACCCCAGCTCTGAGCTGGCACCCCACTTCCTGCTCTGAAAGAATGGGACAAGAAAGAGCGATGAGGGGCTCTAACAGGAGCAGATTTTCCTGGGTGTTTGGAGTATCAGTGAGAACATGTAGAATTGACAAATCTTGCAGCTTCCTATTGGGATGAAATGTAGTATAACTAAGCCAGAGCTACTGAAAGTGCAAGACCATGGGCAATCTTGCCTCATTCTCATGAAGATTAGAGCTGACCCTTGAACAACACAGGTTTGAGCTGCGCGGGTCCACTTATACGTGGATTTTTTTGCATAAATACAGTACACCACTGTAAATGCATTTTCACTTCCTTATGGTTTTTTTTTTTTTTAATTTTATTATGTTATGTTAGTGACCATACATCATTGGTTTTTGATGTGGTGATCTACGATCCATTGTTTTCATATAACACCCAGTGCACCATGCAGTACGTGCCCTCCTTAATACCCATCACCGGGCTAACCAATGTCCCCTCCCCCCTCCCCTCTAAAACCCTGTTTGTTTCTCAGAGTTCATAGTCTCTCATGGTTCATCTCTCCCTCCAATTCCCCCCCCCCATTTTCCCCTTCCTTCTCCTAATGTCCTCCATGTTATTCCTTATGTTCCACAAATAAGTGAAACCATTTGATAATTGACTTTCTCTGCTTGACTTATTTCACTTAGCATAATCTCCTCCAGTCCCATCCATGTTGATGTAAAAGTTGGGTATTCATCTTTTCTGATGGCTGAGTAATATTCCATTGTATATATGGACCACATCTTCTTTATCCATTCATCTGTTGAAGGGCATCTCGGCTCTTTCCAGTTTGGCTATTGCAGACATTCTGCTATGAACATTGGGATGCATATGGCCCTTCTTTTCACTACATCTGTGTCTTTGGGGTAAATACCCAGGAGTGCAATTGCTGGGTCATCGGGTAGCTCTATTTTTAAATTTTTGAGGAACCTCCACACTGTTTTCCAAAGTGGCTATACCAACTTGCATTCCCACCAACAGTGCAAGAGGGTTCCGCTTTCTCCACAACCTCTCCAACATTTGTTGTTTCTTTCCCTGTCCATTTTTGCCATTCTAACTGGTGTAAGGTGGTATCTCAGTGTGGTTTTGATTTGGATTTCCCTGATGGCTAATGATGATGAACATTTTTTCATGTGTCTGTTAGCCATTTGTGTGTCTTCTTCAGAGAAGTGTCTTTTCATATCTTCTGCCCACTTTTTGACTTGATTATTTGTTTTTGGGGGGCTGAGTTTGAGAAGTTCTTTATAGATCTTGGATACCAGCCCTTTATCTGTAGTGTCATTTGCAAATATCTTCTCCCATTCTGTGGGGTGCCTCTTTGTTTTGTTGACTGTTTCCTTTGCTGTGCAGAAGCTTTTTATCTTGATGAAGTCCCAAAAGTTCATTTTTGCTTTTGTTTCACTAGCTTCTGGAGATGTATCTTGAAAGAAGTTGCTGTGGGCAATGTCAAAGAGGTGACTGCCTATGTTCTCTTCTAGGATTTTGATGGATTCCTGTCTCACATGGAGGTCTTTCATCCACTTTGAGTTTATCTTTGTGAATGGTGTTAGAGAATGGTCGAGTTTCATTCTTCTGCATGTGGCTGTCCAATTTTCCCAGCACCATTTATTGAAGAGACTGTCTTTTTTCCATTGCATGTTTTTTCCTGCTTTGTCAAAGATTATTTGACCGTAGAGTTGAGGGTCCATATCTGGGTTCTCTATTCTGTTCCATTGGTCTGTATGTCTGTTTTTGTGCCAGTACCATGCTGTCTTGGTGATCACAACTTTGTAGTATAGCTTGAAATCAGGCAACGTGATGCCCCCAGCTTTGTTTTTCTTTTTCAACATTTACTTGGCGATTCGGGTCTTTTCTGATTCCATACAAATTTTAGGATTGTCTGTTCCAGCACTTTGAAAAATGTCATTGGAAGTTTGATCGGGATGGCATTGAAGGTATAGATTGCTCTGGGTAGCATAGACATTTTAACAATGTTTATTCTTCCGATCCATGAGCATGAAATATTTTTCCATCTTTTTGTGTCTTCTTCAATTTCTTTCATGAGTGTTTTGTAGTTCCTAGAGTATAGATCCTTTATCTCTTTGGTTAGGTTTATTCCGAGGTATCTTATGGTTTTTGGTGCTATTGTAAATGGAATAGTTTCTCTAATTTCTCTTTCTACAGTTGCGTTGTTAGTGTATAAGAAAGCAACTGATTTCTGTGCATTGATTTTGTATCCTGCCACATTACTGAATTGCTGGAGGAGTTCTAGTAATTTGAGGGTGGAGTCTTTTGGGTTTTCCACATAAAGTATCATGTCGTCTGCGAAAAGAGAGAGTTTGACTTTTTCTTTGCCAATTTGAATACCTTTTATTTCTTTTTGTTGTCTGATTGCTGTTGCTAGGACTTCTAGTACTATGTTGAACAATAGTGGCGAGAGTGGGCATCCTTGACGTGTTCCTGATCTTAAGGGAAAGGCTCTCAGCTTTTCCCCATTGAGGATCATATTCACTGTGGGTTTTTCATAGATGGATTTTATGAACTTGAGGAATGTTCCCTCTATCCCTATACTC